TGTGTGTGTGTGTCTGTGTGTGTGTGTGTGTGTGTGTGTGTGTGTGTGTGTGTGTGTGTTAGCCATTGTGTCTAAATGAACATTACCCACAAAAACTTTGACATATGATAAGTGGCAGATTTGCTTTGCACCTACATGAACTATTGTTTTCCTAATGGGAGAGTGCGGATGCAAACCTATCAGCACTAATAAGACAGTACAGTTTCAACTCCTATGGGTTTCTTGGTGACCCAATGCTGATTACAGCTGTCAGTAGCATTGGCTATAATAGTCACAAAAGCAAAGCTCACAGTGTGTATGTAAGCTGCCCAACACCTACTCAAAGCTGTGAGGATTCTTCAAATCCCAGAAAAAGACCAAACCTGACAAAGCGTTAACATGTCTCTCAATACTTTCTGCTTCAACAGCTTGACTGTAACTGTCAGCCCCAAACCCACTGTTTCCTACTGTATACACAAATCTTTTGATATAGACTGTGCATGTACGAACCCGTTCAGGCCTGGTTGATCCAATTACAAGTAAACAGCTTTCCACAAAGTGACCTGAGATTCGATCAGACATTATGAGGTGATGTGGGATGCATGAGGCCATATCATTTTCACTGTGTGAGTTCAAATTTGTCCTGAGCCACATATGAAGTACCATCAGCAGCAATCACTGTCAGCCAACACACAGACACACACAAACACAACGGACACATCTGTAAACTCAAACTGGCTCAAAACAACATCATTTGGTCTTTGTGTATTGGCATATAGGACAGGAAGTTAGATCTGATCACAAGTGGTCAAAGGAAACGCATTCAGGATGCATTTTATTGCCAGGTCTAAACAGATGAACTTAGAGCTGTTCAATTCTAATCAGATCTCAGGATGGATGTTAATACCAGGTCTGTACAGGGGCTATATTTTATATTTTCTCCTTTGCTTTTAATTGAGTAATTTCTTAAAACAAGTGGCCATTGTGGTTTTGAACCAACTCTAGTTTCAAACCGGTGTAGATAAAAAATAACGTAAGATTGAATATGTACGACTGTGACATAAACCTACAATACACTTAACCCTTGAGCTCTAAGTGGTGCAGCTCAATCATGTGTAGAGGGCCTCAGTGTCTCTTTAGTGTTGACCCTACCTGCCGCTGACAATGAAGCAAGTCACCAGGAAGATGAGGAGAACGATTCCTCCAGCGATGGACACGGCCAGGATGGTGGACTGGTTGGGGTCCCCGATAGCCAAAACATCTAGACAGGGACAAAGAGCATACAGTGTTTTACTGAAAACCAGCATGAATGAGCATGAAAAGAGGCTGAGGATGTGTTTTGTGCAGTTGTAAAGTGAGGGATGAAAAGACTAAGAGAGGCTGAGAGTTACTAAAAAAGACACCAAGGGAGACGATAAGTGTGGTGGTGGCAAAGAGAATGAAATGAAATATGATAGCAATAGAAAGGGAGATAAAAGACAGAGGTTGAAGGAGAGGGGAAAAAAGAGAGAGCAGCAAATGGGTAGAAGAGAGCGAGTGAGGTGGGTGGGTGGAATAGTAAGTAAGCTCCTTGATGAAAAGCGCTCTCCCTCGCCGCATTGCCTATGAGGGTATGAGAGTGGACATGAAAACCATTCACGTTCAGCCGCGCTGTCCAAATGGATATGTTAACACTGCATGTAACAAGGCTACCGCCGAGAACTTTCTGCAAAGACGCATCGATTTTTACGCCACACCTATCGAGCCATTACTCAAAACAAATACCCCATTTATCTGGATTAACTAAGCATGAGTGGGTATGTGTGTGCCTGTGTGAGTGTACTGTATATATGAATATGTGTGTGTTGGAGGTAAATGAATGCCTTCAAGGCAGTCACAGATAAGCATTGATCTCCTTTTACATTTACTGGTGCACTCATACACAAGCCTTCCATAACAATCAATTGAATCGATCTGATTAGATAACCTTGGTGATTGCCAGGGGGTCGGCTGAATCCTGTATTTTACAGCACTGAACTTGACTGTGACCCTCTTGTATGAAGGTTTAGTCACTGCTCTGTATACAGTGATACTCGACCTGGATCATGAGCTCCAAACAGCAGGTTGTGGGCGAAGTCCCAATCAGTTTCATAGTCACATTCCTCATTCTTGTCAGGAAACGCAGCCCAACTTTTATTGATTATTGAATGATTATTAGGTTAATGTGTGCCTGCTGTATGGTACACAGACAATCTATAGAGCAGTGCTATACATTAACTGATTTATCCCACTCTGCCTGCCTGTGCAGGGATCAATGCTTACATTGAAGAGCACATTATGAGCCCTGTAAAGCACAAAATCCTGGAGCACATAATGAAGCGATAATGAATGCAGATGACAGCAGACAAAGGAGTTAAAGGACAAGAACTTGAAAACATGACGGCGGTACAACGCAGCATGCCTGGAGCTGTCTGTCCCCACTGGCCTGAATCAAGCTCAGCATGGATTTGTCTTTGGGGTCTCCGCTCCCCTTTTGTTCCAAAAGTGCAATTACATTCTCAGGTCGCAGTTTGTTTCTGTCCATACCCAATCGAGCCAAAGAGAAAACTGTCCAAAAACAGGCTTTTTGCTTTTTGTGTCCCAAGCCAAGAACAATGTTTTCAGGCATGTTCAGTGTAACAAAAACCAAGAACGTGAAAATCATTTTTCCAATATGTAAGTGGCCAGTCTCCATCAAAAATACAAATGTTGCTCTGCACAGATCATGGTGTTACAGTGTAGTTGCAGGTAGACAATAATATTAAATGTCAACCAGGCTAATCAAATTAAATTAATCCACCAAATGGCAGCAGAATATGTCAGATGTCGGTGACAATGATTTGTGACAGCTTTAGCCAGATTATTCTTCCTTTCTTATGAAATTGGGTTACCTCCTTTTACCTGATATGTATTCTGGGATGCTTTTCAGCATTCAGATACTATTGGTATTTTTTTTATTTTTAAATTGCAGGACAAATGAATCAGGCTCTGACTGCACTTGATGTAACATGGTACTACTCTTAGCCAAAACAAGAAAACTGCAGAAAAACAAAGGAAACTGAAGTGAAAATATGAAACAAAAGAGAAATATTTTTTTGTTCATCCCTTTACCTTCGTGACTGGTTTCCAATTCGATCTCTCCACCATAGCTCCCGTAGCCTCCGTCGGTTCGAGCCCTGACCCTGAACACGTAGGTGGTCCCTGGCTTCAGCCCGTCCACTGTCATCATGTTGGAGCGAGTCTTCAAAACTGTATAGTTCTGCTCCCGCTGATTCTGAAGCAGAGAAAAGAGTGAAAGGAGGAGATAATTAAATACTAAGTTTAGTGTCAGAGAAATAAAACGACTGTTGGTGAAAAAGGACTGAGATTATAGATATACTCAAAAGGGTTATAAAAATATTGAGAGACAGAGCTGTCTGAAAATAATAGAAACTTCAAACTGTTGAATTTAAATGTCTCCCGAGGCCAAATACACCTCACTAAGTTTTCATTTGTTCATCGCTGGACCATTTGGTCGCATTTATACATGAGCATCTGCCAAGTCCCAAATCTTATCCTCTCTACACTTGGGACCAATATGCAGTTACTCAAGTCCCACTATGCTTCATTCCTTGATTTCCTTATAAGTACTTGCGCACGCACTTGCAAAATATGTGTGTGTAGGTAGGACGATGAATAAAGAATAAGTGTGTCTGTCAGTAAGTAGATCCCCTGCAAAGAGGCTGATATTCTACTAATGGAAGACACTCTACAACACGGATTAACACTATTTTATGGCTAATGCCTGCTAACACACGCACACACACGCTTAATTTCATCACCTTGTTTTACGAGGCTGGTTCGACAGATGTGTGGTTAATTGGCTTGGTGTGACCAGTAGAGGACATGTGAGGGATAAGGTGAATGAGATAGAGAGATAAAGAGATTGGAGAAAATAGAAAGAAAGCAAGAGAGAGAGCGAGAGACACACCCTCTAAACCACCCACTAAACCAATATCCAATTTGACATCTAGATGAGGTGAAGCAAAGCATTTTAAATAACCTTTAAATTACCTTTAGTTAATGTGTATTTTAAACTGCAGAATTTCCATAATCCAAGGTGATAACATCTTTTCCTGTTACCCTTTCATGCCTGGTAAACACTCCTACACTCCACACCTCAGATCTGTAATGCAGGCTTTCTGTTCACTTTGATCGTATCATGCTTGAAATTATTGGAGTGCCTCTTTAAATGTGTGTGTGTGTGTTTGTGTGACTGTGCGTGGGTGTTTCTCACCTTCTCGTAATAGATGACCTCATACTCTACTATTGCCCCGTTGGGCCTCTCTGGCCCCTGCCAGGCTAAAGTCACGCTGTCCTTGCTCCGCCTCTCCTTCAGCACTACGCTTACTGTAGGGAAACAAAAGGAAAAGAGGGTGAAAACATGAGCGACAAAGAGAAAGCGGAAAGTTCAACTAGATGTGATAGAAAAAGCATGAATAGAGCGAGGGGAGAGATGGATACCCTAAGTGCTATAATGACACAAACAGCTCAGATTTGAAATGCGTCATTCCGCTAATGAGAGTGTTCACGAGGTGTTTTATACATGTGTGATTACAGTATTCCTACGATGTGTGCATGTGTGACATGCGTGTGCCTTATGTGTGATCTGCTCGTGTTATTAATGCACAAATTCAAAGCCCTGCGACTTCCTACCCAGCCCTCCCACATCGGAGCACAGGCTCGAGTGGGATGAAAGTGTGTCTGTCATGTGTTTGTGTAAATGAATGTGTGTTGTGCTGTGATGGAGAGCAGCACTTGTGACATGTGGAAATCTTAATGAGGTTAACAACCTCCTACAGCCCTTTCACCTTCCCCCTTCTAGTTATTACACACACACATTCATAGTGAGAGGCCTATTAGCTACAACTACCTTGTCATATGCACTTCTCTTGCACCAATTTCCCACAGTTCCACACTGTGAGGGTTGCACATATGATTATATATGCGCAGCCAGAGGTGCAGAGGTGTCATTTTGTGCTATCAGAGTGATGCAGCACAGCAGTAATTTTACAGTTGCCATGTAAAAGCCTGATGCTATCTGTCAGGACACTGCAATCAGGAGGCGATTTTTGAAAAATACACGCTTCCCTTTTCCACCAAATTCCCATTTCAAGATGATGAGTATGTTCTTCCCCAGAGGATTTTATTTTGGTATCAGCCTTTAAAGGCAGATATCAATGAGATCCAAAGGAAAATGTTTTTCCTGCAATCTTATCTGAAAATACCCTGCAACACATGAAAATATTATGAAGGAATCTGTGTGAATTCCGTCTTTTTGACATGCCCCCCAGTATATGTGTGTATGTTCTCACCTGTTTGTGACGTGGTGACATTGATGACCACTGTTCCTCTTGGTGTCGGACTTAAATCTGACACTCCATTCTGGCTCTCAACAGTGAAGCTGTAGTTGGAGTCCGGCTGCAGGTCAGTGACCAGCACGGTGGCTGAGGAGAGACCAAACTGCCTGGGGACAAAATGGACGCTGCTACCACACGGTGTGCACTTTTTTCCATCGCCGGAGCACTTCCTGCAGTGCAGGCTGTAGGTGATGTCCCCTCGGCCTCCTGTGTCTCTGGGTGGCGACCACTCCAGAGTCACGCAGGTCTCGTTCACCGTGGAGATGGGGTTCTCTGGAGCAGATGGGGGACCTGAGGTAAGAAACAGGGCAAAGGTTTATTTCTCTGCAGTTGTAATTTAGTTGTTTTTACGTTAAATGAACTATTCAACTAAATAAGCTGTTGTGCATATTCGTAATAAACATATTTAAAAAGTGACCCGGCAGTTCAGCCCTATAACACTGTCAGACTTACGTTTGAAAGAAAGACATTTAAAAAAAGAATAAAAACTGATGCAATTAGAGAACCAGCAATATCTTTTTTTATTTGACATCCTGCAGCTCGTCTGCTGACAGTTTGCTCAGAGTCAGGTGTGTTATGTAGCCTTGAGCCACTTGCCTCAGGCAGAGATTAAGAGCAGGCCACAGAGGTCTGGTAAGAGGTCAGTTTCAGGCCAATCTATGCTGACTCAAGCGATATTGCTTCAAGCCATTTGTAAGACTCTGTGCAGTTCTCCCTTACGCCAAAAAAAGCTTAATACATTTTATTTCCCACTCTAAAAATCACTGCTTAACAGCACTACTACTGGTCAAAAACTCCACGTGGTACCTTTAATGCTGCAAAATAAAACAGGTGCTTTTTTGAAAAGCAATTTAAACATATGGAAAGCTGTGACCACTAAATCCAAGCTGTCCCAGCATGCATCTGGAACAACCTTTGCTACTGCACCACTCCTTGCCAGTGCCAGCTCATGAAATAATTACTGATGGAAATGATTTTTTCCCAAATGTACATTCTATAAACGTGCATTGTCTTAATGTTCATTAGCAATTTAATATCAGTTTCTATTAAAAACATTGATTGAATTAAAAATGAATTAACAGACTCCAGCCAGAGGGTGGACACTTAGCGCTCGATTAATGGAACAGACAGTGATTAGAAGAGTCTGGCTGATTGTAAACGTGACACTATGACAATATATTACACTTCCAAACTCTGAATGCATCTTCAGAGAGACTTAATGTGATGTTAAATAGCAGACTCCAGACTGCAGGGTTTTTTTTCTCCATGTGAATGTAACTGATACTCTTGGGCGCTGCAATGCAGACAATAAATAGCAAGTGGACAATGATCTATTGAAAGGGCTGTGAGTCGTTTTCTCATGAGTCAGGTATATTTTATGATTTAGAGTAGTTAATATTGCTCTCAACCTCAGCTGGAATGATTAGTGTCGCGTAGAGTTGGAGACCAAAAAGTGCGTCAGTAATCATTTTCATGCAGGCACACAAATGTTCTTTTATTTTACATATATTAGACATTCAGATGAAGTCTGTTAACATTTATCCATACATTTAAAAAGTCTAAAGTGTTTAAAATAGGACTAAAGAATCTTTTCGTTTTTAAATAAACCTGAGAGTCTGAATTCCACTTTGTGTCTTTTATGTGAACACTTATATCTAAGCCATGTGCTCACCCTCGTGAATGTGAATGCATGTACGCTTTATTTTATTGTGCGTATTCAAAATAAAAGACGTGAGACAAAATTAAATAGGACAGCTCATAGGGTAGCGTGTGTGTGTTAACATGAATCAAAGCGATATCACCCTGCATTATTCTTGCCATGGGTCCTCTACGCTGGCAACAACAAAGATCCTGTTCAAACGAATTAGTTTTTATTTACACAGTGCTGTAGCTTCTTGAAACAGATTGTTCGACCACTGGTAAGTCTACATCTGGGCCTTCTCTGTGCTTTTTCATTGGCAGACCAGTTTTACATATTACCAAGATGGTCAGCTTGAGCAAACCACAAACCTCCAACACATCATCGAGGTAAGTGTTTACCACGTCCTTCTTATTGTATGAGGCAGGGAAATCGCTGATTGTGGTTGCTCACAGTGCAATAAGGGTGCAGACATCTCAACCATATGGAAATGTGGCTGTATAGTTGCCCATTCAGCCTGACATCTCATCAGGCCTTGCCTAAGCAGTGGGCCCCAGGGGGCCTGCCGACAGGGCCTGAGACTTTTCTGATTAGCCCTCCCAGCAGTGAACGCCTCTGAACAGCGGGTAGTGATGGGGGATGGCTGAGCGGGATGGCTGAGCGTGGGCATCAGGGATCGAGGCCGTGCTGGGGATAATTGAGGCTGTCGGTCATAAATCAGCTGAAAGGATGTGCTGACTGAGCCTGCTAATTCTGTCTTTTTCTAAACCGTACCCTCCCACTGCCCTGGGCCACACCTAACTGTCCATCATCATCGTTTCTACTGATCGGCCCTTTTATGACATTTAAATTACATCCCTCTGATAGTCCACTATTTACCCTCACTGTTCTATTCACTGACTGTGTCTTAAGTGCCATTCTCCATGTCTTTCACCCTCTCCCCTCATTTTCTCCCCTCCATCCCGCTCAGTGCTCTTCACCAGTCAAGAGAGCATGTGTGTGCGTGTGCGCCCATACATATTTGAACAAACCGTTACTCATTTCCAGCTGATAACACCTGTCACATCTCACCTGCTGCACTGATTAATGAGTGTAATCTACCATAACCTGATAATGGGTTTGGGTATGTGTGTGCGTGTGTGTGCGTGCGTGCGTGTGAGAGGTCTCCCGTATTTTTTGAGTTCAGTCTCTCTCTCTCCCACCATGTCACTGTCCTTTCCCCCCACATACCTCTCAGTCTATCTAGATCCACCTCTTTCTGCCTCTGCCTTTTGCTCCATCTTTCCTCCCATTCCTTTCTGTTCTCCCTCGTTTTCTGTTCTGGCTCTTTGTTTGTGTTGGTTTGGGTTGTGCAATGTGTCTCCACTTCCTCCCAGCAAAATATCCTTGGTACAATCGCTGCTGTTTTTGCGCTGGTGATGTAATTTGAACATGGAGGGAGCAGGTTATATGGCCTTTATTTCAGCCAGCCAAACAGGGGGTGATTGAGACGTTTTGTCATGTGAATCTTTATATACAGTCATTCGTGTTGTGTGTGTGTGTGTGTGCACGAAAGGAAGACAGAGAATGAGAATCACCCATATCAGTTTTCTCATCTGACATATCTGTGTGCCGTAACCACACAACAAGCAGACATGGATGTGTGTGTGTGTGTTATATGTATGTCTGTATATCTAGTTCTTAGTAATTCAATAGCAGATGAAAAAGCACATGAAAGGATTATAAAAAATAAATGAAAAACAGCCATGCAATGTAAATTCTTAAAGAAACACACTAATCAAATGAAATGTAATCCAATCATTGTAACTGTAAGCCATTATACAACATGAAATGTAAACATCCAAATGCAAATATTTAACTGTGTATGCAGCATGTAGGCTGGAAATCTGTCTCCATTTTTATAATGACTGCGTTTGTGGCCAATACGATTTACATGTGTTTGAGTTATTGCCAGTGTGTCCCATTCTATCCAACTCACGTGTGCAGGCCATTGAGCGTGGGTCGGTCTCAGCGCGGTAGAAGCTTTTCTCACAAACACACTCGACCGCTTGTTCCAGCGGGGACGAGCTGTGAGGAGGGCATTTGGTGCAGTAGGCTTCCGTGGCTGATGCTTTGTAGGTACTGGGTCTGCATGCTGAGCAAGGAGACAGACAATCGTGAGGTTAGACAATGCAATAATGCAACACGCCAGGTCATAGTCATCACCAAGACCTTTTAAAGTTTTAAAAAGTTCCAGACAGAGTAAGGCTATTAAATGCCATTTAAATGTTCTTTGCAACATATTACATGATGATGATGATGATGATGATGAAGGCCAGAAGCTAAAACGCACTTGTCTAAAAGCAAAGGTTTTCATTAATTCTTTTCCCCTCTCCATACACCTTATAAGAGAAGAAATGAAGTTGTGCCAGAAATCCCCACATGGCCACAAATGCTTTTAGGGATAATTCCGGTTTATAATGGTCGGTTCTTGTTTTTGTAGTTTGGGCCATCATTTATGTTGGTTCCCATGACATTACACTTGCCAAAGTAATCATTGAGCGTTTGGAACACAGCAACATTGCCAAAACAAATGTCAGGAGACAAGAAACACAGGAAATCAGATAATCTGAGAGGATTTAAACAAATGCTCAGAGTTTTCCAGACCTCACTAAAAGAGGTCAAACAGGGAAATTATTACCCAGACTGCCCGTTTAAAACATCCATCACAGGTTACAGACAGAGTTCCTTCTTCAACTTCACAACTACACATCGTAACCACTGTAGTTGTGCATACAGTCATCTCAGGTGGTTTAATTATTATTTACCGTCCTTAATAATTTTGATTTGAAGTTTGATCATTTCACTGGTCTGATGTTTGTTTGAGTTGTTTCTCCATGTTTCCATGTTGTCATAACTGATAGAGCATAAAGGCTACAAAAACCAAACCGTTCATTAAAATAAAGGAGTCAGAAGAGTACAAGTGAAAACAGAAACTTGAAAAAGGTACAAAATGTCCAAAAATACGAAACAAGGAGTTATGCCATAACAAGGACACAACAGATACTGATAGGTCATGAGATATCCTGTGCAGCACCCATGGCAAAGAAGAAGAAAACAGTCTGATTTAATATATTGTGACATTAGAGATACATCAGGCTGAAGGCCCATATGACCACAGGGTTGTGCAGTGTAATAACAAAGTGCAACAGCAGATCATCTGCCATTGCTGTTATATAAGACTCAGATCTACAGGCGACCAGGGGAACAAAACAATACACAGCTGCACTCACACCAATAGTCACAGTAGTATAATATGAGTATAGGTATGGCTGTTTCACAGGCTGAATATTAGTCATTATGTGGAGTCATAAAACGGGAAAACCATGCAAGTGCTCAAAAGCAGCAGCATATGGAAATAGACTGGGGACCTGAATGATTTCCCTTTTGAATCCAAGGCAGTAAAATGGAATTCCTGACTTTCCCTTTAGTAATCTGAATATAGATTACACACGTATTTATTTATACATTCATAGGCTGCCTGGTATTCCTCACAGGCCTTCTCTGTCACAGTGGTAAATAGTATTGCAGTGTACAAACCCCATGTAAGGGAAATGAGTGTCTCAAATACAATCTGTGTGCCTGTGCCTGTATTTTGTGAATCGATTGGATCAATGATGCGATACAATCCACCAGGTGCTGATTGCATGTTCGTATGCTGAGCGCTTCTGTGTGAGAAGGTGTTAAGTATGCGGTGTGTGTGTGTGGGTGAGTAAGTGAACGTGTGTTTGTGAGGGAACGTGTGTGTGTTTGTGAGGGAACGTGTGTGTGTTTGCTTGCTGATTACTTGTGCTGGTGGTGAAGGTCATGGATTTAATCAAGCTACATGTCACTCGTCCCAGAAAGGTTGTAAATTATTACAGTCGCGTACACAAACACACACACACGCCTTCTCAACGCTGTGGTTAACCTGAGGATAGTGGAATTTAAAAGTGGCCTAAAAGTAGTGTGATTTCTCACTGTGGAGGTAAGTTCCTCCACCTGGACGCTGTGCTTGCTCGCTTGCATGCAGACAGTATTTTTAGGCAAATCATTCATCATCGGGGAGCAAAGTCCACTAGCACAATCCCCAAAAGAGTTGAGAGAACACCAGAAAAGGAATGAATGTGTGTGTGTCGGTGTGAAACAGAGAGAAAGAAGAAAGGAATAAAGGAAGGAAAGATAGAAAGAAAAGGGAGTGATAATTCTCAAAGGGTTTGCGCTCTCTTTCCTCCTTGCTGTCAACTTCCAAGGTAATGGGTGCCTATGTGCTGTGCTGGTGTGTTTGTGTGTGTGTATGTGTGTGTGTGTTCCTCTTGGCTGCGTTGTGCGAGCAGGGTGAAAAAAAAGCAGCTTTTCTCCGGAGACATTTCATCCGGAGAGTCCTGGCTCTGGGTGCAGGCCTGCCACAGAGGCACAAAGGACCCCGGTGCTGAGAGGACAGACAGGACGCCCCATGCCAGGCCTGGCGTCCGAACAACTGCCCGATCAAAAAACTTAGTGCAAGAATGGGAGCTTGGCCTCCCTGAGTGGAGCTTCCTTCTCTTGTTCTTCTGTTTTCTACTCTGCTTTTCCACCTCGTTCTCACTCCAGTTTTTCTTTCTCTCTCAGTCCCCCCTTTCCCCCCTCTCTCCTTCTCTCTCTCTCCCACTTTTCCAGCCTTTTTTTTTCTTCTCTCGAGCTACTCCCAGTGTCTGCCCCATGGGAAATGTGTTACTTGACTTGGTTCCCTTATGATTAATGATTTACCGTAGATATGAAAAAGGGACAAGAAGGCTGAGGAAGCCAGACAGTGCTCACATAAACATACACTCACACAGGAGAGAAAAAGTTTAGTCGCAAAAGCTCCTGTACGTTGTAAAACTGTGAGCTAGCTCTAAATTTGCATCACCTTCAGTTGACAATGCTGTATATGTTGTGTGTGTGAATATATGAGATGTGAGTGTACGTGTTTCTTCTAAAGACAAAGAGTGGCCTCAGATCCAGTGTCTTATTAAATATTCATCCGGTCACCAGAGAGACTCAGTGTATTTATGCCAATCGATAGCTCTTAGATATGATATAGTACTGCTACTCAAGACACACCCTCAGTCACCACGCACTGATTGAGAAGGGAACAGCCCAACTGTCTCCTCTGGGGAAACGCTGTACACTCTGAGATGACTGACTGCTGCTCTGTTTCTAGTCTTTTCTGTTGTTTTTCAGTGTCACAACTACTGGTTCGATTCTTTAACCATTTATAAAATGTCACACAATAATAAAATAAGCCAATAATCATCTCCCAAACTAGAAGGATATTTGCTGAAAGCACTACTAATCACCATATTTATATTAACAGTGGGTCAAATGACTGTTATGTAAGGGGTACGTCCTACTGATGAGCACAGAAGGAATTCTCACTCGATTTTGGGCTCAAAAGCATCTTCTACTTCATTGCTATTCTCAGTTAGTGCTGCTTCTGGTTATACTACATACACAGACACTGCAAAACTAAGGTTTACTGGGACAAAAAACAAGGATATTGTCACATTTTCCGAAACTGGAACGGCTGATTAGTTTGATGATGATCAAAATTGTGGTCGACTCCTCCAACGTTCCGAAATGACTGACAGATTGTTGTGTGCACACTTCTCTTTCTCACTTTCTTTCATCAGCTAGGATTACTCACACACATTACACAGCCACAAGCAGGGACATACTTACACATGCAGCCTTTTACGCTAATTCAAATAAGGGGTCATCTATGGAGTCAAAATGAGTGTTATTCACAGTGCTTCTGCTGAAGTGTCATATTGGCATACACAACGAAATCTGTTACGTGTTCTGGGAGGAGCTGCGTGTACGTGTGATTGAAAGGTTACATCAAGCTAAATAACATTTTGGAGCTGCTTGTGTGAATGACAGAAGCTGCTGACTGTACAGGGTTCAGCTCAGGGAATCTATTTTAAGTTTGCATAAGAAAAGGCCTGTGCAGATTCTCACAAAATTGCACGCACATAGAAACACAAACCTCCCATTCCCAGTAGTAGTTTTAAATATATCCAGCCAGACAGCTCCATACGTACACAACATCTGCAACAGCTGCACTTCTCTAAAACAAACATTTCCTTGGACTATCACTCTGAACTTCTTCTTCTGCTCCACATGTCTTTAAAACATTCTTTATGGTTCTTCTACAAATTGTTTTGTTCTCTTGCTTTCTGCCACACTTGGTCCAAGTCAAACATTGGCTCCCCTTTGGCTTTGCCATTAAGGACAGAAAGAGGAGACAGCTTGTGTGTGTGTGTATGTGGATGGGTGCGGGTGGTATACCGTGAGTGAATGTTTGTGTGTGTATGCACGTGTGTGTCCTTCGTAGAGGGAAGTTGTGTAAAGCTTGCTGGCCCAGGGGAGATGAGCTCCATAATGGTCACCATGGCAACAGGCTTTCAAGATGGAACCCTTCTAGTACCCCTCGAGTGCCACAGCTCCAGGAGCACAGAGCGGCTTGTTTGAGTGTGAGTGTGTGTGTGTGTGTGTGTGTGTGTGTGTGTGTGTGTGTGTGTGTGTGTTAGTGTTAGTTGAGGCCAACTACTTAAAAATTGATACATCAAGCGTCACTGAGAAATCTGACGAGATTGAATGTGACGTCCTTTACGGCCACCGAGGTTGCATACCAACAACGTATGTGTGTGTGTGTGTTTATACTTGTGTGAACATGCCCGTGAAACATGCTTTTGGTCGAATTGACATGTCTTCATGCTGAACAAATTATGGGCCAAGTAAAAAAAAACACATATCTATTTTAGGTGCAAAGTCATTGTGTGTTATATGGTGCTTTACTGAATATTGGTGTTGGTGTGTGTGAGCGTGCATGCTTGTGTGAGGAATAGAGACGTCAGCACCAGGGTCCAGCCCCCTGCTGAGATCCTCTAATCCCTAATCGGAGTTCATAAAAACCTTTAACACCATAATATTCACCATAACTACTAATCCTGTAACACACACACACACACACACACACACACACACACACACA